CAATCTTAACTCTTTTGTCCTCTTAAGAACTATTCTTCTCTAATTTGATTATACTGACCTGATTTTTATCTTACAAGAAAAGAAGTGAGAATGACTCATGATTAAAAGTGCAGTCAGTTCTATTCCCATTTCTGAGTCGGTAATTTTCTTGGCAAATAAACAATTTCTTTTTAAACCTACAACAATATAAGTAATATCACATAAAACATAAACGCAAAATCAGGCATTTTTTGCATGCTCATCACACATCTTGCAATATACAGTGGCTAACATTTGCGCTGCAAACCCATAGCAGGTTTTTCCTCCCACAGGGGGGGACGAAAAAAATACCACCCAAGTTAAGGTCATGTTTGGGTTGTGCCTTACCCTCTATCTTTACTTTGCAGACTCATGGACTAGAAAATTCGTGAAGCCACAGCAGTGCGCTTACTTAGTGAATCAGGACAGGATTAACAATGCTGAAGATGTGCTGAAGTTGGAGACCTACGGCATTCTGCCCTAACCCCTGCGATGGCCAATTCTGACAGTTTCAGTTGAAACCCCAAATCCCTGTCTGGGATTGTTACTGGCCTGTTCAGAGCCTGCATCATCCATGTATTATTCCCTCAACAACCATTTACCTTTTACTCTACAATCATGTCTCTATCAAAGTAATATTTCTAAGGCCTAAAGCAATGGCTGCAGCTGTACTGCTTTTATGGCAGAGCCAAAAATAAAACAACAAACTAGACCAAAAACCCTACCTATTACACATGTAATAATTTCAAAATTTGGGTACGATTACATTCCATTAAATCACAGAGGTCTTCCTAAAAATAGAGAATCAGGAAACACTTGAGTTAAACATTGTTATCTTTGTATTCAACCTTTAAACCATTAAAAGCTGGTTTTGTCATTATTTTCATGAGACACAAAATAAAACCTTAAATGTTGAGAGAATGTTAGTATTTTGTAAGTTTACATATATTTACCCACACCCATAAAGTGCGTACACTTCCTTCAAAATTAAAAATAAATCTTGCTCTAGAAATCAAACAGAATTCTTCATTTGGACCATACCTAAATTGCTTTTCCACATTTCTGTACCATTAACTTTCACAGTTCAAATTACAGCCACCGTGATTTTAAATTCCCATGCACTGAAGATTAATCCTATTGCTTACGAAGTTATGAGACTGGATTCCTAAATGCATTTTCCTGCTTTCTTTATTTACTCTTCTTAAAATGAGTTTCTTTGATTAGCTAAACTTCGCTGTTATCAACACTTGTCTCTTATCACAGGCCCTAGGCAAATGACATATTTACCACTCATTCCATTCTGATAAGGGTAATCCTGTGTTTAACTTGCCCAAGAACAAACACCATATATTTTGTTTTTAAGAATCTAGCTTCTAGGTATTAACAACATACAAGAGAATGAGCAGGACATTTTTAAACCAGCAGTTACTTAAAGAGTATTTTGTGACTCTAAGCTTTTAACGACAGCGTATGCCTCCTACTCCAGGAAAGTTTATTTAATTCCAAGTTTCCGCCATATTCCCGCTTTAGTTATACTAAAGTTTAAACCATGGAAGGAGGAAAATACATTTTTAGTAAAACATCTGTTTTGGGTTCTTTGTTTCCCCTAACTGAAGCTCTCCCATACCCAGTAACATTATTTTGAAGTAAAAGTTTTGTTTCGCATCTTGTTTGAAGCATTTTGAAAACAGCGCGGAGAAAACAAACATCCCATGCTGAACTTCACAGTCTAATTTTAATTGTAAAGACATCAAAACATTTGCAGTGTTGTAGGCTGCTAGTGACTGATTTTTACAATTCTGCTTTCATTACTCAACCCACACAAGCGTCATACGGTGAGACTGGAAATTTTTGAGCAGAGTGGAAAACACACTATTTCACCAAGCATTTTTTTTGTTTCTTTTTCAGCTCCCCCTTCCACCCCTTTGAGATAAACTGCATCGAAGGGAGAACTATTCTAATTTCCTGGTAACTTTCTAGCATACCACAAAACAAAAAATTCAAACAGAATTATATGGTTAATGGTATACTGAAGTGCCCGAGAGCGTGCTAAAAACATTTTGATAGATAGCCAGGTCATTTATCTAAATCACCATCAGAGCAGTGAAGCATCCTGCAAGCTTTCTATGCAGAGTATAAGGTGACGTTTTCTGGCACTTTTTGTCATTTCTCAAACTTGCAACTGTGGTGGTAAAATACTGACATTGTTTACCAGCTACGTATTTTGGTAACAAATCAAGACCCTATAACACAATCACACATTTTCAGAAGTGTCCTGCCACTAACTCTCCCTCTTCCATTACCAGTGCAACGCTGTCTGAATCTCAAGGTATAGAAATAATTGATGGTTAAACTCAAAGGGTGTTCACAGTAAGTAGTTTTCTAGCAAAACAGCAACTTCTTAGAGCAACAAAGTGAAGAAGAAAGGTGGCAGCAAGGTCAGTACAAAGAAATATTGCCTTTTCTTAGGAAACTTAGAACTACTGTCTGATTTTTGGAATGGCACCTACCCGCTGCAACTCCACGTCTTTGCAAGAACTGTACGGAGCAGCATTTTAGTTGCTTGGCTGCTCTGCTAAAATGCACTTCGAGACAACATGCATCCAGATCATCAAACGTGGCACAAAATTACGTTAAGGAGGCAAAGCAAAAAAACTACCACAGAGATGCTATATAAATTCGTCCTTCACTGGCTGGAGTTCTGCAAGTATTTGCCGCCTTATATTATGATTTTACGTGTTCCTGCTTGGCTCCACAACAGTTGTTAGGATCAGTATGCCACACGAGAAGGGATGAACAGCAAGCAGCCCGGTGCTTCTCTGTGTTCTCCTTTCTTGGCAAAAGGAGAAAAAAGGCTTGCAAACCCACATTTTGCACAAAAACTCCCCCCACCCCTCATTACCCCTGCGCTTAATTACAAGTATTTCTTTTTTAAATACATGCAAATAATAGTAGCAACAATATAACAATAACAACAACAGCTTTAAACTGGAAAAAGAACGGTGGGGACCTACATTGCGCACTGTGCCGGTGCTGCCACTCTGTCTGTGCCAATCCACTGAAGCACGCTTTGAGAGCCTTCTCCTGGAGCATGCAGGAAGACGGGCTCGCGGTGTAGAAATCCAGCATCTGAGCGGGGCTCACTGCTAGAACGTCCATACAGTCAAACATGATTCCCCCCGCACGGAACGCCTGCGAAAGTGCTTTCCTCTAGGCGCGGAGGAAAATGGCACGTAAAAGTAGACCCAACTCCATCAAACTCTGCCCCTTTTTTGGCACGCGGGCTGTTGGTCTTTTTCCCAGACCAGAATCATGAATTATGACAGACAACACAGCTAAAAGCCTGTAATTGATCCAAATGAATATTTACCATTTTCCAGGCTGCCCGGCCAGCCCAGCGCGCGGGGGGGGGAAGCGGCCCGCGCCCC